TCACTGGACTTGGCAAATTCCAGGCAGTCATTACAGGGGCTGGGGAACCCATCTTATGCCAGATGCAGCAGTGGCAAGATGGGAAGTGGAGACAGGAGAATCCCCAAAAGCTTGTAAGCCAGCTAGCCTGGCACATAGAGTGGTGGACAAGAGACACAGTCGCAAAGGTTCTCTGATTTCCACATGCTCGCCCGCATTCCCATCCACACATGTAATGGACACACACAGAGTGGTTACGAAGAGGAAGTTAGCGGGGCGATCATCCAAACCTGAACTCTGAACTGCAGTGGACCCAGAAGTGAGTCGGAGATGGAAGAATGAACGCGTTTACCGGGAAGGGAGCAGAGAAGTGCCCGAGCCTCTCTCACTCTGTGTGTGTGTGTAGGGGGTCACTCGAGAGAGGGAAGGCAGGAGGGGCTTGAGCATGGCGGGGAACAGGGTATAGCAAAGAGGATGCAGTGAATGGGGGGCGGGGGGAGAGGGCAAAAACCTGAAGGAGCCAGAGGCCCTGGGAGACAGCCACTGCCAGTCCCCTTGAAACCCTAGGGATGGACAGGAAGGAGCAGTTGTGGGTGGCTTCGCTTGGTGATAAGGACATTAGGGAATCCTGCTAGGGTGAGGTCATCAGCAGCTTGTTCCATTCAGAAATTAGCTCCTGTATCATGCCCCCACCACAGTGACTCACTGGCAAGGAAGCAAAGACATTAGCCAGTCTTTGTGTTCTAGGGACTCAGCCTTTTTTTTCTCTCCCATCTGTACCCGGGAAGGCAGGCCGGCAGTCTGGTAGTTCTGCCCTCTGAGCTCTTCCTGACATCCGAGAGAGGACAGCACTGTGATCCAGGGAGAACAGACTGTCCAGATGCAGGAGGTAGGGAAACAGCATTGTCTACCCCCAGCCCCAGGAAAGCGCCTGTGGGTGATCGAAAATGCCAAAGACTAACGGCTGCTGCAGCCTTGTGAAGGGTCTATAGGAGGAGCTGCCTTGAAAGAGCTTGGGCTGAGCTGGGTAGAGGTGGTGGCTCATGCTTTTAATCCTAACACTCGGGAGGCAGAGCCAGGTGGATCTCTGTGAGTTCGAGGCCAGCCTGGTGTACCGAGTGAGATCCAGGACAGGCACCAAAACAACACAGAGAAACCCTGTCTCAAAAAAAAAAAAAAGAAAGAAAGAAAGAAAGAAAGAGCGAGCCTGGGATGAACAGGGGATGGGAATGAGCAAGTGAGGCCTTGTAGATGGTGTGTGGGTATGTGTGCGTAAATGGTGGATACACCATTACAGTGATGGTTAGCGTTTATGTATCTGTTTTAAATCTCTCCCTGCATGGCTCCCTCACGGGAGCACAGAATCCCCAACTTTAGAGCTGTGCAAACCCCCAGAATTCTTGGACTTTTGGCAAGCAGAGGGGAAGACAGCTGTGAGAGACAGCAGAACCCCCGCTGATCTGGTGGGGTGAGGGGTACTCATGCTGAGCATAATTTGATTTCAACCAACTAAGAGATGTACTGACGTCATGAATTTGAGGAGCGTCCAGTGGGCCCAGGCTCTGGACAAAGGGTGAAGAGGGAGTGAGAACTGACATCTGGCGCTCCCCGCACCCTGCACCCTGGGGCTGACACACAGCGTGACACAGAGCTACCATGAGACATTGCCTGGCCTTCACATATGAGCACAAGGACGTGCCTCCCCTCCAGGCCTAGGAGCAGGGCAGCAGGGCAGGTCCACACGGACCCTGGGCTCAGAGTCTGGCAGTTTGGTCTGAACCCTGGCTTCTTTTCTTTATACGCCATCTAGGCCCGGCCACCAGAGATTTTTTTTTTTCCTCATCATGTGGCCTCAGGCCCTGAACCTCTGGTTTCATTCCCTTGAGTTTCTATGCAGTTCCAGGTGCTGAGATCAGAACATGGGGGGTCCAGAAATCTGCCCTGCCTTCATATTTACTATACCAATTGGGGACCAACAGATAGATGAGAAATGGGCTAGAGACCAGTAGTTAGAGATTCTGAGATGCCTGCCGAATGTACCTCTGAGTGTTTCAAAGCCTAAGTCTGGTTGGCTTAGAGCCCGTGGGTCTGCCACCTTTAGCTATGGGGTGGGGGTGGGGCAGGGCTCCTGCCCTCCTGCCTTGTGAATGTCACACTCACTAAACAGAGCAGACATGCAGGGCCACCAGACAGGCCTCACACTGCCCCTCAGGATGGTAAGCTGAAAAGACAGGAGAAGTGAGCCCCTCTTCTCGTAGATGCCAGGCCCACGAAGGCCGAGGTGTGGAGGTCTAAGCCCTGATGAGGGAACTTTTTCTTTACCTGGTCTTTCACATCTGGTGGCTCCTTGTAAACAGAAAGGGAAAGATGTATCTTCTTCATTCTTTTAATAAATGTATACCAGGCACCTGCTGCGCGTCAGGTCCCCTTGTTTGGCCACTGGAATAAGGCAGTGGATGAAGCCGGCTCATCCCTCCTGCTCTTGCAGAACCTACAGTCTTAGAGGAACGAAACATAAACAGATGTAGCCTGTGATGACTTAGGTGGAGAGAACTCACTAACCCAGCCCAAGGCTTAGGTGTGGCTTCCTGGAAGAAGCCAGGGTCCTTAGCAAGTATGACAATTCACTCCAGGTGCAGCAGGTCTGGGGAGGTGGAGATGGACGTATAATGATGTATAAGAGAGTTTATGTCAAGTTTGGTTTGGGGTGGGTTAATGTAAAAGTCGGAACCAACCAGTCAATCTCTCCCCGACCCCTAGTCGTTCTGACTCCTTTACAACATTTGCAGGACCGATGACCAATTGGGAAGGAGAATCTGTATTGTCTTTCCGGACCCTGAGGTCCTTGCCTGAGAAGAACGGGGACAGACCCAAGCTAGGAGAGATGGGAGTTCATTTATCTGGGGGACAACACAGAAGTGTCATGGAGAAGGCTGTTGCACGAGGGGCTGGAAGGAGATCCAAGGGGTGGAGGGAGGCAGAAGGAGAGGCCTAGTACAGAGCTCTGGAAATGAAGAAGTACAGCAAGGTAATTGGAGAACCAGTAGCCATGAAGGACAGTGTGAGCCAGGAAAGCCAAGGAAAAGAGCTGTTTCCAGAAGGCAGCAAAAAGCAGGCCGGAAATTATATGTTTTGAAGTTGGGGGACTAAACAGTCAAAGTTCTGAAAAACAGACAAAATATATTTAAAGATGCATAAAAATTGCAGCAGCTCTCCCACAGCACAACAAAATTACCCGTGGGTGAAAAACCACTGCCTTACGAGCATTCATTTTTGATCTGTTTGTCATCTGGGCCAAATTGCCCAGATTCACGGGAGCCAGGCCTATTGCCTCGTCATACACCAGGGGGCGCACTCGCACTGCTTGTGAATACAGGTCCAAGACAAAAGCAGGCTGGGAATTAGGTGTTACCCTGAACTTGATCCCTCAACTCAGATCTAAACCTAGCAGGAAACCGCTGAGATGTCAGAATCTAGGAGCCCCAGTAGTCCTCAGATCTTGTTTTTGTTTCTCATTTGATTCTAAACTCACAGGAGAGTTGGAGAGCCCTCACAAAGGGTCTTACCTGACCCAGGGTAGGGGAGAGTATTTCATCTTCCCTGAATGGTGAAGTCTCATGGGGTGGGATTAGGCACAGAAAAAGGAAGGTGTAGCCAGGGATGACTTTGTAAATGATAGTTGTATGGACTGGGTGTGAGGAGCCTGAAGGCTTTGGTGCCAAGGCTGGCTGGCTCTTGTTTGGAGATTGCCAAGTCCCTATAAGCGCCACTCGGAATATAAATCTTCAGGTAGGTTATCGATTTAGTCCAGAGCAATCCCCAGCACTGCAGACACTGGACACGGTGTCAACGCAGCGCATTTGAGCTTGGTATGAGTGATGTGAAATTCAGGTGAGATTAGGTAGGTTTGAGTTGGTACGCCTGTAGACAAGGAGTCTGAAATTCAGTGTCAGGGTTTGTGTTGGACCTGGGTCTTGAGACCAGTGATCAATTTATACCTGTTGGAATTAACACAGACAGTGGGGTGTTGGGCAGCCTCTGGGTGGGGCTGGCGTCAGGTCAGAGCTGTGGAAGAACAGTGTAGAGATAAAGGCTTGTGTGGAGTGTCTACAAAGCCAGTCCTATCTTGGGTTGCACAGTTAGTAGAGTTGGGTCAGGTTATTGTACTAAATGATCAAGAAGGCAGGGAGGGGTATTGAGGTCAGCGGCTATGTTAGGGTATTTGTTGTTGCTGTTTATTTCCCTCTTCTGGTGACCTTATCCCAATTTTGCTACTGAAATGGATAGTTCCAGGGTTGGAGAGATGGCTCAGCAGTTAAGAGCACTTAATGCTGCAGAGGACTTGGGTCTGGTTCCCAGCATCCACACTGGGTTGCTCATAGCCTCCTTTATCTGGTTCCAAGGGATCTGAAGTCATCTAAGGCCTCTGCCAGCACCTGCACTCACACGGAGCACACACATACACACAAATAAACAAATGAATGAATGAATAGAGAAATAAATAAATAAATAAAATATTTTGTAAAAAAAATTGATAATCCCAGTCAGGAAATGTACATATCTGGGATGGAAATAAACCAGTGAAATTTTACTTAGGAGCTCAGACTCAGGAAAGCATTGGGGCAGGGTGTGAGGTGGCTGCCTTAGAGCTTAGTAGGTTTACTTGGAATCCATTCAGACCAAGAGTTCCGGCCTCTGTCAATATCAAACTTAGGCCAGATAGAATGAATGAAACCATTTAGGGTTAGAATCTCTAGCTGGGGTTAATATACTACAGGGGTGCAGATAAAAATTACTACTTGTTTTGGTTGCTAGCAAATTTAGGGGTCTGGACTCAACACTGGGTTCAAAGGTGGCTCTGGGCTGAGTATCAGATTTCCGTCTGTATTGGGGGGCGGGGGACCCTAGAGAAGTATTAGGTTCATGTGAGGATTTGGGAGGGTCTGGACTTGGTCGTCGGAGTTTGGGTCCATCCACGCTCATGACTGAGGTTTAAGCTCAATCCTGGCGTCGCAGTCGGTTTAGACTTGGGGTTGGTCTGCAGCCTCGTTGGGCCTACGGCTTCCCTCCTCTACGAGCGAGAGTGCACGAGGGGAGGGGCGGCGCCGGGGACGCGCAAGGCAGGGGCAGGGACGCGGGCGCGGGCGGGCGGGCGCGCGCGGCTGGAGCTGGCGCGGGAGCGGCGGGAGCGGTGGCGGCGGCGGCGGCGGCGGCAGAGGCGGCGGCTCCGGCTCCAGCTCCGGCTCGGGCTCGGGCTCGGGCGGCGGTGGCGGCGGTGGCGGGAGCGGGCGACGGCGGCAGCGGCGGACTGGAAGCGGCGGCCTCAGCGGCTCGAGGGGGGACATGCAGACCGACGGCCCCCGGAGAGGCGGTGAGTGACCCCCCCCACCCCGATCCCCCTTCGGGCCCCTCGGTGCTCGGCCCTTCCGCGCCGTCCCCGCCCTGCCCCCGCGCCCGTGGAGCGGAGCCGGGGGCGGGCCCGGGGGCGCCCGGAGGCTGGGCCGCGCCCCCACCTGCCGCGCCCGCGATCTCGGCCGAGCCCCCGCCGCACCTGAGCCGCAGCCCGCGCCCCCGGTGCAAAGTTTCCCCGCGCCGGTGGGCGCCGGGCCCCCCCCCCACCCGCCGCGGTCGCGCTCCGGGGGCGGCCTCCAGCCTCCCCCGCCGGCCCCGGGCGGGTCCAGGCCGCCTCCCCGTCCCACGGCGCCCCCTCCCCGCCGGCGGAAGAGCCGCAGCCGACGCCGGGTCTCGCGGGCGACCGGGCTCACGTGCGGCCCCGGGATGCGCGGGGCGCGAGTTGGGAGTCGTCCCCCCCCCCTTCCCTGGTCTCCTCCGTGCGGAGCGCGGGCTGGGGAGGGACCGGGAGGGCGGCCCCAACCCCCACCCCGAGCGGCGCCCTCGAGGCCCCGGAGCCACTCGTCCCGGGAGGACGGGTGCGCTCGGACCCGCTCCGAAAGTTCACTCAGTCGCCTCCCGGCGTCCCGCCCGGTCCCGTCCCGTCCGGGCGTGCCGGGTCCCCAGTCTCTGCGCCCGCGTCTCCGTCTCGGCGCCTTTCTCAATTTCCCTAGGTGTCTCTTGTCTCCCTGTCTCGCTCACTGCCTCCAGGTCTCAGTCCCTGCGGTCCCAGCGTGTCCAGCTCTGGGTCCCTCTTGCCCCCCAGGCTCCGTGTTCTCTCCCCGAGGATCGGGTTCTTCTCCCCGGTCTCCCTGTCTTCTCTCCCCAGGTCTCTGTATTCCCTCTCCCCAGGTTTCCGTGTTCCCTCTCCCCGGGTCTCCCTGTCCTCTCTCCCCAGGTCTCGGTGTTTCCTCTTCCCCGGTCTCGGTGTTCCCTCTCCCCGGGTCTCCCTGTTCCTTCTCTCCGGGTCTCTGTGCCTCCATGTCTCTGTAGTTCCTTGGCTGTCTCTCTGCTAGGTGTCTCTGTATCACACCCCCCCCCCCCCCGTCAGACCCCCTCCCCCACTTCTCTGGAATGCGGCCCCTCTGGTTCTTCTACCCCGGGAGGGGGAGGGGCTAGCCCTTCTCCCCATTTCACCCCCTCCCTCTGCAGGGCCCCTGAGTTGGAGCCCGTGGGGTGGGAGCCCTACCTGCCCCACTAGCTGTGGAATGGGAGGGAGGACCACCCTGAGAGCAGCCAGGCAGGGCTTGGGGGATGCTGGATGACCTAGGGTTGTTGAGGAAAGCTCCACTTGTGCTTCTGAAGGGACAAGAGTGGCATCCTGAGTGACCTGGTACTGGCTCTGGCCTGGGAATACAGGGAAGTGTTTTGCGGTGGAATGGCAGTTTCTGGATGAGGGACCCAGTGTGGAATCTGATAGGATCCAGAGGAGAGGTCTGACAGGAAATCTGAGGGATTCTGTTTGGCTCCTTATTAACTCTTGCTTCAGGGAGTGTGAAAATCCCTGTTTTTACTGATTGTATGCATCTGCCTAGGGCTTCATGGACTCCAGAACAACCCTTCATTCGCAGCCAGGGCTTAGGCCACACACCCCGCCTTCATTCCCAGTCTTGGCCCACCCTCCATTCTTCCGGTGCACTTCACCCTTCCCTGCAAGAAGGAGCCCCCGTGCAGAAACCTGCGGTGCTTGCACACTCACAGCACACCTGTGCACCTGCACACTCAGTCTCTTCTTGCGCACATAACTTCCTTGCATATTCTAGTTCAGATTCTTCATGCTTTTGTTTTCTTTGAGTTACAGTGTTCCTCTTTAGTGAGAATTTTAATAGGATTCTCACTTCCCTTCCTCCTCCTGACCCCCCCACCCCCTGTCCAGTCTCCTGTGTTTAGGGCTATGGAAAGAGGAGTTCCTTTCCATAGTTGTGGGTGCTGGAGAAGCAGTTTTCGGGGAGGCGGGGAGGACTGCTGCAAGGGTAGACTGGCTGAAAACCCTTCCTTGTGAATCGTGTGCATCAAGATACTGTCCTGCGGTTTTGTGTTTTCCCTATACTTCTTCCCGGCCACCTGTACTGGGAGTCAGTTTGAGGTCCTCAGTGGGGGAGGTAGCCCCCAGACCTAAACAACTTCTGTGCTCCAGCTTGTACAGCAAGGAAGCCTCTTTGGGGGTCTCAGCTTCAGTTCCCTGTAGAATGGTGCTGGTAGTCAAGTGTAGGTGGGCCCCAGGACTGCTGTGAGAAGCCCAGAGGACCGCGTGGCCGTGCAAGTCAGCAGTGGCAATCACCTCGTGGGTATGCAAACGCGATTCAGTAACCCATTATTGATTGCTGACCCTGTGCCAGGCACAGGGCTAGGCACTTTCGGCATGGCGGTCTGGCTTCCTGTGGGACTAACAGCTGTGTGAAAAAGGAAGCTTGTCTCTTAGCAGCTGCTGAGTTGGGAGCATTAGCCACAGAGAGTAACTGCCATTCCAAGCTGAGGTTAGAAGATTGGAGGAGTCCGTGTGAGACAGGAGAGTTGCAGGTTCAGGGTGAGATGATTCTCAGAGGAGACTAAGAAAGGGCTCTCTGAAGTGGGTTTAGACAGGTCAGTAGGAGTTTGCCTGTTGGGAAAGAGAAAGAATGCTGTGGATGAAGGAAAAAAACTTAAGATGAGCCGCACTGGAAATGATGCCGCGGGAGAGCCCTCGCGAGCATGCTGAAGGCCCTGGATCCAGTTCCCAGCACTGCAGAATTAATTAGTTTACTCAAAGAATTTAAACAGCGTGCGCGTAAAGATTGAGAGATGTTATCACTTGTGGCCTCTTCGGAGAGACGGCAGTTCACAGAGCCTTGGATGTTCTGTGAGGTATCCGGGAGAGACACCCATGGCTTAAAGTTTGGGTGGAGACGTGGGTCATACTACAGATTTCTTCACTAGAAGATGGTTCTGGGCTATGGAAAGTTCTGGGTGGAGACAGGATTCCCAGCAAGGAGGATGCTGTGTGCAGAGAGCAGGTGAGGGGAAAGGCGGCTTAGGGGGCAGGGTGGCGTGGAGAATGCGCGTTTGTTGACAGGACAGGGTGGTTTGTGGGATGTGGGGTGAGGAAGTCCTGAGCTGGGGACCTGGCGAGGAAAGGCCAGGCCAGGTAAGTGTTGAGCCCGGGCCCCATGTGTTGTCTGTGAGGCACTTGGGTTTTGGTGAAGGGGTTTGGTATGAAGCAACAGTCTAAGGCAGGGACACCAGGAGTTACGTGGGAGCGAGGGGCAATGTTCTCTCGGGGCAGACAGCTGTCAGCAGTAGCCAAGAGCTGACTTTGTGAATAACTGGAGTTTGAGTTGACCTTGAACAATTTCCTAACCCCCTCTGGACCGCATTTCTCAAATGGGTATGCTCAAACACCATGCCTCATGCATGGGCTTGTTAGGGGGACTGAAGAGGAACAGGAAGCGTTTGGGACAGGGCCTCACATCTTGTATTGTCCCCCAGTGGTGGTACTTGTTTTACGGTCATCCGTAAAAGACGAAAATACACTCCTCCCTCAGAATCACCAGACCCCAGAGTTGTCTTTGGAAACACACACTGTCCAGGCAGAGGTACCCGCAGCAGCCGCTGCTCTGAGCTGGGCCTTTACAGGTGGGGCGCTCAGCCAGGCGGGGGCAGCCACCTGGTCCCCCAGCCTCATCTTCACCGGGAAGTGTGTTGCTCCAGTGTATTTGACCTTCAGGGTGCAGGTGGGTGTGAGAAGGCTGGAGGTGGGGCCCTGGAGGAGAGAGCTCTTGATGTGGATAGAAGGGGATTCTGAGAAGGGGCAGCCTCTGCGGTGGAGTGCCTCACTTCCTCCCAAGATTCTTTGCTCTGTCTTTGCCTCCAAGGTCCAGAGGCACCAAGTCTGGGTGCACTGGGGCTCTGGGTCTGAGAACTCTGAGTTTGTTTCCTTGGCTCTGTGTTATCTGCCGCCGCTGCTGGGGACTGTTTGTGGTGCAGCCCCAGGGCTGCCTGGAGGTTGCTTCAGTCTGTGTCTATGCCCTGGGTTTTTACTTGCTCCTCCTGGTCCCACTGGTGGGCCGGGCTTCAGCCTGGCAGGTGACGCAGAGCCCTACAGGGCCAGGTTGGTGCAAGGGCCTTCTACGTGATCTTGGTCATGACTGTTAACCAAGCCTGGTCTGGGACCTTTCTGGGTGTTGTACCCAGTGTGAATCCTCACTGAAATCCTATCCAGTTAGGCCCTGGCTGAGCAGCTGTCCCGTCTCCCTTCCAGATGTCAACGCCAGTTTGTTCTCTGGGTAGCTGGCCATCTCGACTGTTCTAGGTCTGTCCCCTTGTGGGTCTGGAGTGTTTCTGGGGGCTGCTGGGGGCTGACCTGAAGGTGACTTGATTGTCAGGGTTGGGGCTCTTTGATCCTGGACTGGTGTGATCCAGAGTACTGTTCTAGAATACTATCTTGGACTATTCTGTGTTCCTTGGCAGAGTGTGTGTGTCGGGGGGTGTCTTGGCAGCCTCAGGGTCCTGTGTTTCTAAGACTACTTCATGGCCATTTTGGGCGTGTGCTTTTTTCTTCAGATATGGATTCTTCTTTAGGTAGGGCCTGTCCCAGTCCTCAGGCAGGAGGCCCAGTGCTGCTGGTATGGCCTTGGGTGTGACACCATTGCTTTGAACACTACCCCTCTGCCGCGGTTCCTGCGCAACAGTGGAGCTAACAGCCCTGCGTCGAGCATTGTGAGGCTGGGCCGGCATCTCCAGACAAACGGGCCTTTGAGTTTGCAACACGGAAGCTGGTTTCTCTGGCCAGACCCGCTTGGCAGCCTGCTGCAGAAGCAGCGGCCACTGGGAATGTTGTGGAGAAATGCGGTGGACTGGGGATAGGAGCCCATACTGGCATCCTGCGGCCCAGGGCCTTGGATTCTGATCTGACTGGGGGTGGGTGGGTCTGGTGAGGCCTTGAGTGAGTCAGTAACTTTTTACCTAAGAAGACTCCCTAACTTTCCAAAGATGACTTGTCTGAAGTAAGGACAAAGGGCTGGAGAGGTGGCTCAGCAGTTAAGAGCACTGGCTGCTCTTGCAGGTGTCCTGGGTTTGGTTCCCAGCGCCCACATGGTGGCTCATACCATCTATAACTCCAGTTCCAGGAGTCTGGTGCCCTCTTCTGAATTTGGGCACCATACATGCATACAGATGGTGCTCATACATACATACAGGCAAAACACTGATACACATCAAATAAATCTAAAAACAGTTAAAGTAAGGACGATTCCCTGGTGTGGAGGTTTGTCTGTGAATGGTGATGAGCATCGGGCCTGGGTCAGTGAGGATGTTCCCATCTCCCCTCACAGTTTTCCTGTTCAGGGAAGAGCCACAGTGGCAGGACTGTGGGATGAACGCTGCTGGAGAGGGGCGGGGGTGAAGCCCAGAAGGAGCCCTAAGTGGGCTGTAGCATGCTTCAAGTGGGCATCAGCAGGGTAGCTGAGCTGGTGATGAGGTGATGTGGGCGTGGCTAAACCCTACCCCCACCCAGGACCCTGCGCATAGTGAGAGCTCAGTAATGGTTTTGGAAGGAAGGCACAGGGCTCTGACGCTGTGTGTGTGCCAGCGGAGGAGGCATCCAGGGGCACACCTTCATTTTAAAAATTATAGAGAAGCAGAAAGTCAAAAATAAATATTGCTCCTGAAGTGACTCTGAAGGCTGGTGTATGTGCCGGGGCGTGTCCTGGCTGGGCTGTTTTCTGTGAACTCGTATTCTTACCGTGTATTGACTGAGCACCTACTGTGTGCTGGGTTCCTAGTGGGCACTGGGGATAGTGAGTTGAGCCAGGCAGGTGTGCCCCATGTGTTTACTGAGCTTATTTTAGTGACTCGGAGTCATGTAAGTAAATGAATACGTTTGTGGTCACTGCTTTGAGGCAAAGTCCAGGCATGTAGTTGGTGATGTCATGGTAAGCTTACTTGAGAAGTGCTGTTGGATCTGAAATCTGAGTGGTAACTGGTCAGAAGCATACAGGTAGCCCGTTTTAGGCGGTAGCACACATCACGGGCAGGTCTGGGAGGCAGGAGGAAGTAGGGCACACTGGAAGAGAGTGCACTTGTGGCTGGCTAGTGAGGGGAGAACCTGGGCAGGTGGAACCCCAGAGGTAGGGTGGGCAACTGCTCTGCTCCAGGGTCCCTATGGGATTCAGACCCAGATTCTGTGGCCATGGTTGGAGACTTGGCCTGTGTTGCTCATGGGCATAGGGACGTAGACAGATGGGCAGGCACATAGTAGGTGCTTAGGGAGCACCAGACAAATGCAGTAAAGTAACCAGATGGATATTTGTACTAAATGGGGATCATCCGACACCGACAGATCCATAACCTGCTTTTCCTTTCCCTACATAAATAGTGCGTTTCAAGTCTGTCTGTGTCAGTTTATACTCTGCTTTGATGGCAGTCTTGATGTTGTCTCATCTTTTCCTCTCTGTCCAGGAAGGAGCGGAGGCCCTGGTGCCCTGCCCTCAGTGCTGACTGTCCAGCAAGAGTGACTGATAGAAGCAAGCAGAGACCGGTGAGTGTGCCCCAACGTGTGGCCAGGTGCATGGTTGCGGTAGGGGGGTGGGGGAGCTGTGGGCCAGGCTGAATGGTTTGGATTTTCATGCTATAGGTTGTGGAGGGGATATCCAATGTACATGTGGTTGAGCGATGGTCGAGGCCTGGACCAGGAAAGAAGAGAAGGGATTTGAGTGTTACTTAAGCAGGTGGAGTAGATAGAGACCACAGTGAAGGATTGAATGTGGGACGTGAGAAGGGGAGGTGTCTGGCTGGCGTGGAGGACGGAGGTGAGTGGGGAATGATACACAGCCCATCAGCTGCTGTAGGTGTGACATAGGCTTCTGGGTGGCCCCAGGGCCTGTCTGCTTCTCCATTTGTCGTGTTTCTGTAGGGAAACAAGACGGTCTGTCAACCGAAGATGCTGTAGAAGGGCAGGGTACTCGGGGTGTGGGCTGGGGTTGTAGAGAACAAGACCAGGAGTTAGTTAGGAGTCTACATGGTGGGCTGGGATGAGAGACTGAAGGCTGGAGACTTCCTCCAAGGGTGCTTCAGAAGCCCGGAAGGTTCTTAAGCCGACAGCATCCGTTCATTCATCCAGCTGTCCCTTCATTCACAGAACACTGGCTAGTGCCTCCCATCAGCCAGAAGAGCAGACAGCACACACGGTGGGCATGATTGGATTTTTGTTTAAAAAAGGATTATTTATTTTTGTGTTATGTGTATGAGTGTCTGCCCCCATGTATGTGTATACACCACGTGTGTGCCTGGTGCTTCTGGAGGCAGAAGAGAGGGTTGGATCCCATACAGATTGTTGTGAGCCCTTATGTGTGTTTTGAGAACTGAACCTGGGTCCCTAGCAAGAGTAG